CTGTTCGTTTAGTAAACTGTGCGTTCGTTTAGTGATCTGTCTTTTCATTTAGTGATCCGTCTTTTCATTTAGTGATCCGTCTGTTCGTTTAGTGATCTGTCTGTTCGTTTAGTGATCTGTCTGTTCGTTTAGTGATCTGTCCGTTCGTTTAGTGATCTGTCTTTTCATTTAGTGATCCGTCTGTTCGTTTAGTGATCTGTCTGTTCGTTTAGTGATCTGTCCGTTCGTTTAGTGATCTGTCTTTTCATTTAGTGATCAGTCTGTTTGTTTAGTGATCTGTCTGTTCGTTCAGTGATCCGTCTGTTCCTTCAGCGATCTGTCAGTTTATTGAACTTTTTGTTTGTTTTGTGATCTTTTTGTTTGTTTATTGATCTGTCTATTTTAATGATCTGTCTGTTTTAGTGATCTATTTGTTTTTAGTAATCTGTTTGTTTAGTGATCTGTTTAAGTTTCCCACTCCAGCGGTCAAAATGTGACTGTATATCATGCAATTGCGACTTTATATCACGCAATTCTCACTTAATAATCAAATTTCAACTTTATATCACGTAATTCTCACTTTATATCACGCAATTGCGACTTTACATCATGAAATAAAACACGTTATTCTCACTTTATAACATAATTGCAACTTTATATCACGCAATTCTCACTTTATAACACACGATTTTGAGAAGTCCAGCGACAGGTCTGACCTGTATCAAAAGGCCTTCTGCTCATGCATCTATTGTCATGTGAGAAATGAGTTTAATGAGCGTCCGTCTGTCCGGCACGGGTTAAGTGTCTCTGAGTGTCAAGGTTGAGTAAACTGAAGTTAAAATCCCTCTTGCAGGCTAAAAGAGAGACCTGAACAGCTGGGAGGCACGACCCCGTGACCCCCATGACCTCTGCCTGTCCTTCCTCGTGAGACGTTTATGTGGTAAATATGCAGTGGCATGTTTGTGTTCACCGTCTCTTCAGTAAAGTCTCAGTAATGAGGTTGAAGCTCTCGTGTGGCTGAAGTTTTTATGTTCGTTTGAAATGAGGGCAGTTATTAGTTCCTCCGCCGGCCGGAGTGTTTAATACTGTCCAGGTCAAGGCCTGAGATCTGCTTTACTGTGCGTAATATATCAGACCAGCAACTACACCTGGATTATTTACTGAGACTTCAGCAGCTCCGAGTCCTTCTGCGCCACTAGAGGAAAGTCTAAACCAGTCCGTCTGAAATATACTGACGCTCAAAAGACTGGAATTATAAGGATTATTTCATGTTTTCAGAGTCTCTTCTGCTCACCAAGGCTTCGTTTATCTGATCAAAATACAGTAAAAATGTGAAATATTCAGTTCTCTAAGTGAATATATAGTAAAGTGTAATTTATTCCTGTGATTTTCAGCATCATTACTCCAGTCTTCAGTGTCACATGATCCTCCAGAAATCACTCTAATATGAAGATCTGATGCTCAAGACACATTTATGATTATTATAATGTTGAAAACAGTTCATATTTTTGTGTAAAAGGTGACATATTTTATTTTTCAGAATTCTTTGCTGAATAAAGAACCAAATTTATTTGAAATAGTCACTTTTATTAATGTAATGCATCATTCTTACCCCAAACTTATCACAGTTTACTCTCAAATATGAAGCAGCACAACTTACAGGTGAAACTCAAAAAATCTGAATATGGTGCAAAAGTTCATTTATTTCAGAAACTAATATATTATATAGACTCATTACATGCAAAGTGAGATATTTCAAGACTTTATTTGTTATAATTGTGATAATTATGGCTTACAGATATGAAAACCTTTCAACAATATTGTAATTTTGAATTTGGGGTTTAGGTCATAATCATCACAATTATAACAAATAAAGGCTTGAAATATCTCACTCGATAATATTAAATATTAATACAACATCAAATCAATAAACGGTTGGAAATGAAGTTTGTAGTGTCGTTTCTCAGTGGTTTTCCGGTGTGTGTGTGTGTTTGAATCAGACCGTCCTGAGGATAATTAATGTCCTGTATTGACCGTGTCTCAGGAGAACACCCACATGTGAAGGCTTGTGTCTCATCTGGGGCTTTAATGAGCTCTGTCTGCTGTCATGGCAGATCTTCACCTCACACAACCCGAATCATGGAGGAGAACAGCGACGTCACAGTTACGGTGTGACTGAACTGCTGTCGGGAATGTGTGTATATACATTATATATATATATATCTTTTTTTCTTCAGATATGAGTTTCATGATTAAATTGGCCCTGGTTTAATTAAGATCTTTGGTCATTAACTGTGTTTCTGAACACATGTCGTCTGCTCCCCCTGAATACTGGCTCTCTGCTTCTGTTCTCTTCAGGTTGATTGTGGTTTTGTTATTTCTTCATCACTGGTTTCTGGTGATCAGCATGAAGTCTGAAAGCATCATTCGTCTCCTGACGCACTTTTGAGTCAGCGCTATGTTAAACTCTGATCAACTTTTGTGTCTGTGTGTGTGTGTGTGTATCCCAGGAAGAATAGATAAATTAATTAACCCTCTGATGGTCCTCGCTCACTTCTGACCGAATAATTTTCTGTTTTGAATTATTAAAAATCAGAGCTTCATCGGAAGGTTATGATACTTGGTGACTTTTTTGGCATTTGGTTTGTGAATACAAAAAAAAAAAAAAAATTGAGGTCATGATCCGAGCATGCTAAGTGGTCGTAAAAAAAAAAGTCACACTTGTGGTCTTCGGTCAGAAATGACCCCCATAGGAAATGAATGGGAAATTTACAAAATTTAAATTCTCTGAATTTTTGTTTGAACAATCTACAACTCGGCCACGATTCTTAAAAGAAGTACACCGCAGGAAAGGGCTGACACTCTACAACATTAAGAGTGCAAAAAATTTACACACACACACATACAAACACACTTTTATACACATACACACCAATAAATTCAGACTACAAAAAATCTGTTTTAAATTTTTAAAAAATCACAGCTTCATCGGACTGTTACGAAACTTGGTGACATTTCTGGCATTATGTATGTGAACACATAAAAAAATTGAGCATGCTAAGTGGTCGTAAAGAAATTAGTCACGATTTTGGTCTTTGGTCAAAAATGACCCCCATAGGAAATGAATGGGAAATTGACAAAAACACAAAAATTCACAATTTACAAAAGTAGAAATTTGACAATGTTTTTAAATAAGAAATAGTTTTTGAGATTGTTTCAATTATATATTCAAATCCACCACCACCAAAAAAAAAAAAAAGTGTTCATAAACATCTGGGTAATTCACATGCTTCTCCATATGCCATCTAGTGGTTACACCATGATTCTACGCTTTTTCTCTATACTGTAACCAGATGGTGCTAATTTTCTTCAAAAAATATTTTTTTCTGAAGGCCTAGACCCTATATTAAACTAAAATACTGCATTAAGAATAAAAAAAAAATTATAATATATATATAGAAAAATATATATAAATTTCCATTGAAAAAATAGACCATAAATATTGCATAAATATTAATAAGTTCAATCAAATTGTCTCAAAATACTAAATTAAAAAGAATAAATATTATAGAACAAAAATAAATTGCATTGGTTTTACTGGGATGGAAGAAGTTTCATTTTTAGGCCTCCGGTCACTTCTGACCGGGAAGGCCCAGGACGTGACTCGTAAAGGAAGACCATCAGAGGGTTAAAAGTGACAGTAAAGACATTTATATTGATGCAACATTTTTTTTTTTTTTTTTTTTTTTACTTTTTATTTTGAACTTTTCCATTTATAAAAAAGTATAACGGGAACTGTTTTAAATGTTTGTGGAGTTTCTTGTTTCATGGCTAAAAAAGTACATTTACTAATCTTGTTTAGTCTTGAAGTCTTGTTTTCTGAAAATATTTTTTTTAATCAGGCAAATTTATGCTTAAAACAAGAACAAACATCTGCTTGTTTTCACTTTATTTTTCTGAATCCACATTCAGATATTTGTTCTTGTTTTAAGCACAAACTCACTTCATTTTGATTCATCGCTCAGTATTTTGCTTCTTCTCCAGTAAATGTCTCTTGGATATTTGTGCTGGAAATCCAGACTGAAGAAACACTGACAGAACTTCATGTTTGCCCGAACCCAAAGACATGCTCTATAGAAGGACATAAGCAGATTGGAAATAGTGTTTATGTCTGAATGCACTTAAAAAATCCACTTTACTTCCTAAATTTGAATTGAATTAATCAGTGAGCAGAATTACAATTAGGATCTGGAGGATGTGTGTGAACAGGAGGACAGTAATGTGATCAGCGCCGGGGTATGACCTCATCATGACCTCAGTGTCTCCGTAATTATGAAAAGTGAACAGGACTGTGACGTTTCTTACAGAAGCTACTCTCATTTTCCATGAAATCGACGATTTCAATTGCGGTGTATTCTTTTCACATTAGATATATTTCATTCAGAACTGAAAATTGTACATGTGTGTGTGTGTGCAGACTCGAGCAGTGATTCTGTAATGTGTGTGTGTGTGTGTGTGTAAAAGTGAGATTAAGGCAGTCATTTCTAGAGATGCGCATCTTGACAGCAGATCCCTGATGCCTGCAAATACTAATATACAATATAATTACCCAAGCATATAATGGCGAGAAGCATTGAAATATATATTTGACTCCATCTCTTATTTTTGTCCCTTCAGGGCCTCCATAGAATGAGTTATTTCCACTCAGCTTCGGGAACATGAGCATGAGCGTTTCTCAGCCATTGGTTTGACATCTCTGAGTTTTACAAATATCAATCCCCCAGAATGCCGTGCGCTGAATGAGACGGAGCGACACACACACACACACACACTCCCTCATCCGTGACCCTGCAGATCTGGACTCTCTCTAATCTAAGATGAGATGACAGTATTATGATCAGCAAACACACTTACATATTCTCTCTCTGTGACAATCTGTTTATTTGACAGATGAGGGAAGATTTGTGTGTGATTCAGCAGTTGTTGATCATCTCTCTCTCTCTCTCTCTGTGTGTGTCCAGCTCTGATCGCCATCGGTCAGTACAGCAGCACGATCGAGACGGTGGACGCCGGCTGGTGTAAGGAGATCACGGATCAGGGCGCCACTCAGATCGCCAAGAGCAGCAAGTCTCTGCGTTACCTGGGCCTGATGAGGTGTGATAAGGTCAGTTCACACACACACACACGCTGGTGTGACACTTGGGGTCAACAGGCGAACACCTCACGTCTGGTTCTCTCGCCGCCTCCAACCCCTTCCACCATTTTCTTATATTAAGCCTGAGATTTTTGAGTTAATATTTTAAAAATTTTATAATAATTTGTGTTTTAAAATTATTTGAATTCTACATTTTTATGAAGGGTTTGATTTTATTTTTTTTATTTGTTTGATGTTATATTTTTTTTTTTTTTTTTTTTTTTCAATTTTACATTTATGCATTAATACATTTTAACCCTCTGGGGTTTAAATCCCCGAAGCGTTTAAATAAAAAAAAACTTGGGTGACTTTAATGGTACTTGGTGTTTGAACACCCAAAAAATTTGGGGACAGGATTTGAAAAGTCTAAGTGGTCGTAAAAAAAATAGTCACACTCAGGACCTTCGGGTCAAAAATGACCTGCATGGAAAATGAATGGGAAATTGGCAAAAATGTGAAAATACTGAGTTTTTTTGTGCGTACAATCTACAAATCAGCCACGATCTTGAAAAAAAGCACACAGTGAAGGGGTGAATCTATAAAATATCAAGAGTGCAAAACAGACACACACACACACATAAAAAAATTCAGATTATACATGTGTTTTGCATTTTTAAAATGCTCAGTTTGTCCACCAGATGGCATCCATCTCATTTCAAAAATTGCTTTTATGAGGCCTAGGCTTGACTCTAAAATGAAATACAGCTTTAAAAAAAAATTTTTTTTTTTAAATATTTTTTTCTATTATATTCAATGGGGGAAAATTTGGTCATAATTATTGCATTAATACTAATTATAAATTTTTGTATTTTTTGAAATTTTCTCAAAACACCAAAAAAGAAAAGAAAAAATATTATAAAAAATAAGTAAAAAAAAATTATGATTTTCTTTTTTAAATATGAATCCCGCCCTTTGGGTCAATTTTGACCCGAAGTTCTCAAGTGTGACTGTTAAACGAAGAACCCCAGAGGGTTAAGCATCTAAGCGTTTAATTTTTGTTTTTGCTTTAAATTTTGTTTAATTTTAAATTACATTTTGTATTAAATTTTACTTTAAAATTATTTATCTGAATTATTATTTTTACATTATTATGATTTAATAATTTTGAGCTGTATTTTCATTTTTAAATGACTTATTTTTATACATTTCTTACATATTTATGATGAGTCTATCCAGGTGTTATTCACTCCCTATGTCACATTTGACAGATGAATCTTTATATAAAGGTATCCACCCTATGACAGGTGAATATATAACTTTTTGAAGTAGAAGAAAAGCAGTTTGGTGTCTCGTTAGCAGGTTTTGATCAGTAAATTTAATGAAATGTCACCTTGCAGTCAGTCCTGCTCCTGGAGGAACTACATAAACAACTTTCCCAGCTCATAAATGTCCTCAGGATTACTAAAGTGATTAAACGCCCTGCACATGCTGTTGGTCACTTCAGGAAAACTGCATTGACCAATCAGAACTCTCGTTTATATACATGATTCAGATGGATCTGGTATGATTTTAAGCAAGTTTGTCGTTGACTTTATTAAAGAGCACATTACTTGTTTACTCCGTTTACAAAGCCACAGTCCCGGCCAATTCAATCTCCTTCTCATGCTGCTAATTCTCTGTGTGTTCATAATCTCATTTGGGTTCTGGAAGCTGTAGATGTGATGGATAACCCTCTGAGCGCTGCGTTTGCTTCCTAAAAGAGGAAAGTGCCGTTTTAATATTCCCGTCTGTTATATCAGACCCTTTCATTTTACACTTTTCCATTTCAAGCCCGTGCTAAAAGTTTCAGATGGAGTGCAATGATATTGCAGACTCACATCACAGATCGCTCTCGTGTCCTCGACTGAAAGAACGCTATTGATCCTTGGCGGCCCAAATCATCAAATCAATTCATTATGCCTCTCTGAGACCTGCAGCTCTGGACGGGGCTTTGATGTGACGCCCTGGAGCGAGAGAAGAATGAGAGAAAGCTCATTTCTTTTATCAAAGACACTTTGACAAAACCTCATTGTCCTTCAAACCCTCCAGAACAAGCGTTTTCCTCTTCACAAACAAGTTTGGTTGCCCACAAAACATTCTTGTTCTGAGGCAAAACCGAGGGATCTGTCATTGTTTACATGCCGTCCCGAACCCGTATGCTGATGTTTCTTCTCATGAACACGACAACATGAGACTGTGTGAGTCTTTATTTGAAAAATCCTATTCTTAACGAGTAGTTTATCTTACTTTTACTTCAAATTTTAAGTGTGCCAACTGAATACAAGTCTATTTTGTCTTACTAGACCCTTTTCCACGTATTCCAGGCAAAATACACTTAAATGTAGGATTGGTTTCATGATGGCTTGAAAAAGCATGGGCTGAAAAGTTTTAAATGATTTGAACATTTTGAAGCTTAAAAGTTTTAAGATCGTTGGTAGGTTGTTGTTATGGTGTTGCTATGGTGTTCTGGGTGGTTGCTGGGATGTTCCTGGGGTGATCTGGGTGGTTGTTATGGTGTTGCTGTGGTGTTCTGGGTGGTTGCTAGGATGTTCCCGGGTTGATCTGGGTGGTTGTTATGGTGTTGCTGTGGTGTTCTGGGTGGTTTCTAGGATGTTCCTGGGGTGATCTGGGTGGTTGTTATGGTGTTGCTGTGATGTTCTGGGTGGTTGTTATGGTGTTGCTGTGGTGTTCTAGGTGGTTATAAGGGTGTTCTGAGTGTTACTGGTTGCTAGGTAGTTGATCGTGGTTGTTGGGATGTTCTGGGTTGGTGCAAGGGTGTTGTTTCTTGTTAGGTGGTTGCTGGGGTGTTCCAAGTGGTTGTTAGGGTGTTCCTGGGGTGTTCTGGGTGGTTGTTATGGTGTTGCTATGGTGTTCTGGGTGGTTTCTAGGATGTTCCCGGGTTGATCTGGGTGGTTGTTATGGTGTTGCTATGGTGTTCTGGGTGGTTGTTATGGTGTTGCTGTGGTGTTCTGGGTGGTTGCTAGGATGTTCCCGGTTGATCTGGGTGGTTGTTATGGTGTTGCTATGGTGTTCTGGGTGGTTGTTATGGTGTTGCTGCGGTGTTCTGGGTGGTTGCTAGGATGTTCCTGGGGTGTTCTGGGTGGTTGTTATGGTGTTGCTATGGTGTTCTGGGTGGTTTCTAGGATGTTCCTGGGGTGATCTGGGTGGTTGTTATGGTGTTGCTGTGATGTTCTGGGTGGTTGTTATGGTGTTGCTGTGGTGTTCTAGGTGGTTATAAGGGTGTTTTGAGTGTTACTGGTTGCTAGGTAGTTGATCGTGGTTGTTGGGATGTTCTGGGTTGGTGCAAGGGTGTTGTTTCTTTGTTAGGTGGTTGCTGGGGTGTTCCAAGTGGTTGTTAGGGTGTTCCTGGGGTGATCTGGGTGGTTGTCATGGTGTTGCTATGGTGTTCTGGGTGGTTTCTAGGATGTTCTTGGGGTGATCTGGGTGGTTGTTATGGTGTTGCTGTGGTGTTCTGGGTGGTTGTTATGGTGTTGCTGTGGTGTTCTGGGTGGTTGTTATGGTGTTGCTGTGGTGTTCTGGGTGGTTGTTATGGTGTTGTGGTGTTCTGGGTGGTTTCTAGGATGTTCCTGGGGTGATCTGGGTGGTTGTTATGGTGTTGCTGTGATGTTCTGGGTGGTTGTTATGGTGTTGCTGTGGTGTTCTGGGTGGTTGTTATGGTGTTGCTGTGGTGTTCTAGGTGGTTATAAGGGTGTTCTGAGTGTACTGGTTGCTAGGTAGTTGATCGTGGTTGTTGGGATGTTCTGGGTTGGTGCAAGGGTGTTGTTTCTTGTCAGGTGGTTGCTGGGCTGTTCCAGGTGGTTGTTAGGGTGTTCCAGGTGTGATCTGGGTGGTTGTTATGGTGTTGCTGTGATGTTCTGGGTGGTTGTGGTTGTAAGGGTGTTCTGAGTGTTACTGGTTGCTATGTGGTTAATCGTGGTTTTTGGAATGTTCTGGGTGTTACTGGTTGCTAGGTGGTTGATCATGGTTGTTGGGATGTTCTGGGTCGATGCAAGGGTGATGTTTCTTGTTAGGTGGTTGTTAGTGGTTGTATGGGGTTTTGGGGTGTTCTCTGGGTGTGTGCCACGGTGTTGCTAAGGTGTTAATGAGGTGTTCTGGGTGGTTGCTAGGGTGTTGCTAGATGCCACATCATTTTAAGCAAGCAGTGCATCGAGACCAGCAAGACACACTTATATACAAGATCACACGAAAACGGTTCTGAAAATATTAGGTAGTTTTCAAATCAAAAATTGAACATTATTGTACATAACTGTATTTTGGTTAAAATTAACATATTGCTTATGTTATATACATTAACTGGTGTTAACGAGTGAGACCTTAAAGTACAGTGTTACCACAAATATTAATTATTAACACTTTTTTTTGCAGTCTGATCTTGACTGGCAAGCTCAAAAATGCCGAAAATATCATAAAAGCTTTGCTTGATTTTTTTTTTTCTGATACCTTTGTGGTGGTTTTGGAGCTTGACACCGTCATTATTATGAAAAGTATCTGTGTAAACAGTTTTCAAAATCCCTTTGTTTGTATTCCTCTGAAAAATAAAGATAAATAATGACCAAATTCTTATTTTGAGTGAACTGGCCCTTTAAATCATTACATTTTCCTGCAGTTTGTAATGTGTGTTTTGGGTTCATCTTCTGATATCTGGAGAGTTTTACATTCTCGGTGGGAAATTATAGTCTGTTTGAGCCGCGTGTTTACAGGTCAGTGATCGTAACCTGCGAAACGTCACGGTGAGATTTACACGGCTCTCACGGGTCTGTTCTCTCTCAGCAACAACATCTCAGTGTTTGGTCTCGTGGCCGAAGCCAAAACAGGCCGCCGTGCCTCTCAGCTTCTCACAAACCCAATCACGCTTTTAGCCCGGTAACCGTTTGCCTCGAGGACAGAACATCTCATCGAGGGTTTCCGAAAGGGTTTGGATCCATTCATTGGAGTTTGTTTTTTTTTCCCCTTTTGAAGCTCAGTTTAAA